TCTCCTTACCTCTACCTCCTATGAAACAGGAAAAACTGAAGTTGTGGAAATTTCTGTTTCAAAAACAAATGTTTCTCCAGCTGGATCAAAGCCTTTGGAGGATTGTAAACCTTTGGTCTTAAGTGAAATGAAGCTGCCCTCTGTCCCCACAATATACCACATGATTGATTCTTGAGTGATTATTTCAAGTAGAGATAAGTCATAAAGTCATCTCCGTATTTCTCAGAAACACAGTGTTGTAAATGGAGGTTGTTTTTGAGAATAAGAAATAATGATGGCTCATAAAGATCATAAATATATCAGAAATGATCATAAAAATAAACTAAAAGAAAATCCAAATTTTTGTTTTTAAAAACTCTACATTCAATATGTAAATTACTGAAGATACAGACATGTTGCAAATGTTTTTTTGTGGGCATTTTTGCAATGGGCTGGACTGGTAGGGACTTCATGCTAGGCCATTGATGTTTATATGCATGATGGGTTTATCCTTTCCCTGTTAATATCTCTGGGTAAGCATAGGTATCCTTTGTTGATCAAAGGATCTTTGAAATATATTCAAAATTAGGGTTTCTTTTTTTTTTTTTTTAAAAAAAAAAAAACATCCATTTCTCATGTAATATACAAGAATGTCTCAAAAGTCAAGGTTAAACTTTAAGGACAGGTCAGTTGACCTAACTGATGTTTACAGTCTTTGGGTGGGTTGTGGTCATTGTTGGGGGAAGGGTGGGGTTTAAAAATTTTTTTTTAGTTGTTGATGGATCTTTATTTTATTCATTTATTTATATGTGGTGCTGAGAATCCACAACCCCAGCCTAGAAGGGTGGTTTTTTAAATACTCAATTAGGAGTTAAAGTGACTGGGTAGAATTGGCTTGGGAATGGCAACTGTCTGTAAATTGGTTGTCAATTCCTTACTCTGGCTTTGGGTGTTTGAATTGGTGAGACTTTGGTAATTAGAAGCAATCAGCACTTTTATTCCACTTCCAAACATCACACTACTCCACCAAAGCGTTGGTTCTCAGGCATTGTATTAACCAGTAGACTCTGATTTTAAGTTATTTATTTGATTTAAGTGCGGTCAGAGATCTAAAGGAATCATATCTTCCACGGAGGCTTCTCCAGCTCTATACCCTGGATGGCTCTGAATTGCTGTGGGAAGTATGGGGGCTCCCACTGGACTAGAAGGGAGAGGTAAGCACTGTTAGGAAGCAGTGCTTAGAGCAAGCACACTGTTTTGGGTTTGGGGTGACTAGGAGAAGGAAGCATGGTAAGAAAAGCAGATTCCTAGGTCTTGCTCCTAAGAGTCTAATTCAGAAGCTCTGCAGTGACATCTGGTGATCTGCATTCAGAACCCACACTCCATGCAATTGCATGTGGTTAGTTTGAAGATGACACTTGAAGACAGTTCTAATCTGCCTGTAATACATTTGCTATGTAAAATCAGTTTTATAAACACAGGTGTGTCTACTTTGCACATTTTTGTGGTGGTTTAAACTTATCAAAGTTTAGCAAAGATAAGGTCTGTATATTGACATAAACCAATATAGCCAGCAATTCCGATTTAATCTTTTAAATTAGCCTTTTAACCTTTTCCTTTTATTGTTGCATCTTTTTCTTTACACATTTTCAAGTTGCATCTTTTAATTACCAGATTTATTCCTTTCTTCATAAAATGAAATATAAACATCTCACTAGTATGATTTTTCCAGAAAGCAGATAACAGGCAGTCTTGCATTTGTATATAAAGGTTACTGAAGCTAAACCAAATCTCAGTGGACTTGAACGAACTGGTCAAGACCCTCCCACATGTAAAATAATGTACAAAACCCCTGCTGAAAATCGATCCAGGCTTCAGTGATTTATTCTAATTACCCAAAAGACTACCAGGGCATCACAATTTTCATACAATCTGGGTCACTTGAAAGGAAAAAAGAAATTAAATAGTTTGTGCCAAGGTGAATTTTAGTTTGGGCCTAATTTGTATTACACTTCAGGAATGTGAGCAGAAGGCAAATATTTATATCAGATGGGAAATGTGACATTTTAAATAGGCAAGTTGCTTGTATAATTTTGGCAGCTGGGAAGTTTACTGATTAGATTCTGTTGTTATTGTTTAAGCAACAGACTTGCCTGGGGCAACAAGGAAGTGAGTTGCATATTGTTTTTCTACCATTGATTTTATTTGTTCACCTTATTCATTCTCATAAATATTCTCTAAGATTCAGGAACGAGATTCTTTCTCAATATTTGGATTAGCATTTTGGCAGCCCAGGTGGAGAGAGTGGAGACAGTTTTTCAGAGGAACCAACTTTGTGCAGTGGTATTGAGCAGTTTTCTGAGGGTGACATTTGCCAGGATGCTAGGTGCCCTGTGTTTATTTGACATCAAGTTAACCAGTTTTTCTCCTTCAAATTAAAGGTAAGGTAGTTAGCCTGGTGACTGTCATGCCTCAGATAACAGTAGCTCAAACTGTTCTCCAGCAAAATTATAATTTTGGAATAGCTGTTAGTTGTTATGCTGAGGCCATTAAAGTAGGAAGACTCTTCTGTTCATTGTTATGATTATGATTATTTTTGCCTCCGTAGTTGATCCTACCTCTTTTCTGGGCTGAGTGCAGATGGCTCAAAAGATTATTTTTTTGAGGTCCAGTTGTTAAAATCATGCTTTCTTCTATAGGTCTCTTGACCAGTGGGTGGATTTATATGGTAGCTAATTGTGTTGAATGAAACAGGCACTGATTACTGCTCAGTCATTGGCAGTAATTTTTTATTTTTAAGTTCTCTAGTACTTCTAATCATTTTTAGTTAAGAAAGGGTGAGTACATACAATTTTAAAAAATTCCTTAGTTATCTGCAACTTTAACCAATTTTGGGCAACCTATGAATGACCAGGATTCTTATTCAACAAATATTAGAAGTACAGCTGGTCCAGAACATAATGAAGAATGAAAGATAACGGATTCCCCTCCTTATAATTCACAATTCATTGGAAGAATTAGGCACTTATCATGCAATCACAAATATATGATTATAGATTGTTCTAGATCTCATGAAAGCATAGGGCAGGGGAACTTTAGTTTGTCTAAGGTATCAGAAAAAGCTCTCTGAAAACCTAAGATCCAAAGGATGAGTAACCAAGAACTAGATACTTGGGTAGGTGAGGGTAGGGGAGAGAGGAAAGTGTAGGAGCAGCATGTGTAGAGGTCCTAAGCTAGGAGAAAAGGGCACATTTCAGCCAACTTAAAATTTAGACATTTTATTTTTTTATTTAGAACTATTAGAGATCATTCTTTCATGGCCTTTCATTCTGTCATATTAGAGACCATCCTTTGATGGCTGGTCCTGTATTGGAGAATCTGCCTTAGTGGTCTGATGTCTGTTCCAGGTATCAGTATTTGGAAAGCTCCCCAAGTGATTCTAAGGTGCAGTTACAGCAGAGAGTCATCTCTAGATGGGAGTCTGGCGGTGTTTCTCTTGGAGTTCCCATTTATGGAATGTGGGGGTATGAAGCTACACCTGGGTGCCAGCTGTGCAGACCTTCTTAGTGGGGAGTAATCAAATGTCTAGGCTTGAAAGGAAGGCCTGCTAACAGAAGCCCAATTTTAACTCTGGACAAGCCCAGTTTTCAAAATCAGCTCTGCCAGTAAGTTAGAAAGTTTATACTTTGATTTTTATTATTCTAACTCCTGCATACATTTATCTTTGTACTTGTACGATAGATGGTTATGATTTACTATTGCTGTCAAATGCCCCATTCATGAAGTAAGTCTTCCCTATTTTTCCCTAACTTCTACTTGGATGAGCAGTAATTTTCTTCTGCACTTCTACTTTCCTTTGTTCTGCATCTTTTTTTTTTTCTTTGCAAAGTGTGTTTTAGGTTGCTTGTAAGCAGCATAAGGTTTATATAAATGCATTTATGTAAACACACATATATACATATACACATAGACACATATTCTAAATCTATATTTAATCAGAATGTGTTAGTTCACTTATATTTAATGTAGTGAAATTATTTAGATTTAAATCTATTATCTTGCTATTGGGAAACTTGCCTTGCAATGTGGGAACTGTTGGGAAACCCTGAGATCTATAGGTCAAGTGTGTTGATAGGTGCACTGATGTTGCAAAAGCACTGATTGGTGGAGAAGCTGGTACCTTAGTGTCAATTAAGGTAGTTGCACCAAAACATACTAGTAGTTATAAATAATTTGTTATAAATTTACAGTCAAAACAAATGCCAATTTCCATTGAAAATTCCCTTGATGAAGTAGTAAAAATTCCTCCTTTTTCTAAATCTTGGTTCTCTGAAAGCCTAAGATGATGTGTAATGATTTATGTGCCGAAATAGCAAATTCCCACAAAGCACTTCTGCTGCATATGGAGATACACTGGTTGTCTTATAGAAAAATACAAGTGATTAAGTGGTATGCTAAACTAGTTTTTCCCTTTCATGAATCACCATTTTTATTTGAAAGAATGACTGACACACAAACTATAGTTCTGCAAAATGAGTGATGTGATTCTGTCTCTTCAAGGAAAGCAACTGATAGTATTCATTGCTAATGACAAAATTGGCGATAGATCAAGTGAAATTAAAATTTTAGAAAACTTATATCCAGTACTGTGAGCTTGATGGCTTCTCAATATTTGAAAGCTTTTTTGGTAAAAATGCTGATATAAACTAATGTGGTTTTTATTCTGCATAATGAAGTATGTCAACATTTGGAAGATCTGCATAACACAGTGAATCAATATTTTCCAAGTAAGCAATTCATGATGTTACAAAATTTTGCATAGAGGAAATAACCATCAACTTGTGAGATAGACCAATGGATTTTAATGACTAATGTGAAAAATTTAACAATATGGTTTCAGATTTTTTTTGCCAAAACTAACTTTTAAAAAAACCCTATCATTTGTCACCTTCTGGTATAGTAATGAAAAATATTTATAATCATATAAAAAAGACAAGATAAATTTTCCCTTTCCAACTACTTATCAGTGTAAGAGTAGATCTTTGTTTACTTTAACTGAAACAGGATATTTTAAAAATTGAAGAAACAAATATAGAATTCAGCTTTCTTCCTTAAGCCAAACATTAAATAGATTTAAAAAAAAATAACACTTGTCACTATTTTCTTTGTTTTGGGAAAATATGTTTTTTATGAAAATATTTGGATATGTAAATAGGATTAATTTTAATGATTCATTAAATAGTATTGGAATGTTTGTGAGCTTTAAAGTAGTATTCTGATTAAATATAGATTTAGAATGTATGTATATATATAACCCATATATACAAAAGCTCTTTGGGATCTTAAATAATTTTTAAGAACCACTGAAGTAGACTTTCCTAGCTGGCAGCTATGTGTTGAGGGATGGCTAATGCATTTCTTAAACATATTCCTTTTGGATGTAGAAGTCTGAACTTTCAGGAACTATCAGCTATTTTACATGGTAACTGTTACAGTTTGGATATGAAGTGTCCCCCAAAGATTCATATATTGATATATTCATATATTGCAACAATGCTCAGGGTGCAATTTCAGCAAATTGATAGGATCCTGAGGGCTCTGACTTCATCAGTGGATTAATCAATCTTCAGATAGCTCAATGGACTGCTGGGATGGGGTAGAAGCTGTAGGCAGGTGGGCATGCTGGGGGAAGCAGGCCATAGGGTGTACCCTTGAGGACTGTGTTTTATCGCCAGCCCTTCTTTTGTTCTCTTCTCTGCTTCCTGGCTGCCATCAGTTGGGCAGATTTTCTCTGCTAGGGCCTTTTGCCATGATGTTCTGCCTCACTCTGGGTCCAAAGCAGAACTGACCAGGCCCTGAAACCTCTGGAACCAGGAGCCAGAATAAATCTTTCCTCCTCAAAGTAGTTTTCCTCAGATGTTTGTCATAGTGATGAAAAGTTAACATTAGTAGCAAATGAACAGATTGGTTAATTTTATAAATATGCTGGGCAGATTAAATGTTATTGTAGTCTGAATTAGATTGGTGACTTTTTAATATATCAGATTACATGGATAATAACCTTTGACTTGCTGATCATTGACTAAAATCAATAGACAAATGACATGAATACATAGTTCATAAATATTAGAAATTCTTCAGTCTGCCCACCAAATTCTTCATTCTTAAGATGAGATTAAAATGTTCCAATCAGTCTTGCCATTCATTTCTGGAAGTTGCCCTGTGGCTCATATCAGCCAACACAGTGACATTTACTTAGGATAAAAATGAGGCTTTGGATGTTTTAGAGATAATAGTTAGGATTGGGTTAAATCTCTTAAAACACTTCAGTTTTAGAAAGTTTTACAAGGAATTTCAGAAATCCTATTCACCACCATCAGTGAATCCAATAATTTTTCCTCCTGAGAGAATATGGGCTTGTGCATAAATAACATACCTACAATTGTAAAATGGCTACAAGACTGCAGCTTTCTTCGTAACATGTACCCTGCTGGGCTGTTTTTGTTCATGTTATTTTACCCTTTTGTAAATCTGTCATCTTCAGAGTTGGAGACATTCAATTTTGTTCTCGATTATTCTGACTGATTTTAAATGTGAAAGAATTATCCTGTAATAATCTTTCATTTTTGAGGGAAAATCTACAAAATCCTATTGGCAGGTCGACTCTTGATCCTTTCTGTTCAGTTTAAAAGCTGACCCATAGGGAATTCATCTCCTGTTTCCAGGTATTGGTTGTGAATTCACTATGCAGAAGGTACTGTGTTAGGCACCAATAGATATGCATTGGTGCATTTCCCTTTACACTGAAGAAACAAATGACAGGAATTTAACATGTGGAGCATACAGTCTTGTTGTTTTGAAAGAATTGTTCCCATGGTAGTAGAACTGTTGTGAAACAAATTTTGTTGAAAATCCTACCTTCTTTGCAAATAGATTGGGGAAGTGAAGAGTTTTAGTAAAGCGAGTATAGCCGTGTCCTCCTCACAGCACTGTTTGTCATTCAGAACAATGATCTTAAATAGCCTTGGAAGTATGATTGATTTTGATTTCACATTTGAACTGATGCTGCACTGGCAGCTAATGGGTCCAGGAGATATTGGTTTTCACATTAAGAGATCTGAAATTTCTCTTTCTTGTCTTGTTGTGGCAGGCCCTAGCCAGGCTTGGATCAGTCGCCACTCCACAAGGAGCTCAGTGAGGGAATTTAGCTTTGAACTCATAAACAGGTTCATTACAATGCCACTCTGTCAGCCAGCCATATTGGATTTAAACGTTACTTCTCTGTGTATACTCTGCTATATAACCAAGATAATGTGCTATAGTAGTGACATTTCTTGACCCTGAGTTTAAGTGTATAATTTGATCAAGTTAAATAAAACATGTAATGAAAATGCTTATTTTTAGAAGTTCATGATTGACATCATAGGCTAAAATATGAGCTCGTGGATAGACTGCTTGGCTCTGCTCTTTGTTGCTGTGGAATCTCGAGCAAGGTTATTCAGTGCTCAGAGCTCATTGATTGCAACACAGGAAATAACAGAGCAATTGGGAGGATTAGCTGTGTTAATGCATATAAAGTGCTGGGCATGTAAGTGTTGGCTGGTATCATTGTTTTTATTTCTGCTAATGAGTGAGATCATATTCTAAGATTTCAAAAACTGATCATAGCAGAGCTACCCTTGTCACCATCTCCCCACTGCAATTCTCAGTTTCCAGACTATGTCCCAAGAATTTATGAGGATATTTTTGTGAGGGTGATATCTACTGTGGTGAGAGATGCATTTCAAATATTAATTTCAGTTTTTGAGGATCAGTACCTGCTCAGTTATCTCCTTATATGTGCTGCCATTGGCAACAGCCAAGGCAAGCCTGTTGGTAATTAATCAGTTCCACTGAGGACTTAATTAGCAGCTTCATTAGGATCATCCTCGAGTAGCAAGCAGCAGAATCCTGAGCCAGCTGAAAATTCCTGGCTAGCTCTGGCTAGCCCCTCTGGCCTGATGGAAATTCAGACTGAGGAAGAAACCTGTTGTGCTTCCATTTATTTGTCTTCCTTCAAGAAGGCTGTGGAATATCACTGGTTGTCTGTGATGTATTCATGAACTATGTGAAGATAAGGGAACATATCCATTTATAATGAATTGGCCAGAAAACCAAGATTGGTTATTGAATTCTTGTGTTTGGGCTGAGCAAGCAGGAAACAGGTTGTTGTTTGCGAGTGTTGAAAATGAGACCATGCATTTTGAATATGACAGAGTACTTCATTTTTCTGCTGAAAGTTAAAGTACTTCCCTTCTAGCATCATTGTTTTATAATATATATACATATATATATATTTGAAATATTGCTGTATTGTTACGGGATGAAATCAACACTTTTCTTTTTCTTCATCCCTAAGGAAAATATGGGAAAATGAGACAAAAGTAGCATCTTCCTTGTTTTCCTGTAGAAGTAGAAATTGGGCTAGGAGTGCAAGGCACAGTCAAGGTACTCCAGAACCAGCATTTCTGCCAAACCCTTTGGATGGATTGTAACTTTGCAACAGTAAGATAAAAATAAATGCATCAGCATCCTATTTTACAGAAAGGGTATCCCTGGAGTCAGTTTCTCAAATGAAATGGGCCTGTTTTGCATGGGCATGTCTAACTCACTTTTTTGACTATTCTAAGGTTTTTAGATGACTTAGGTAAATTATGGACTTAGCAGAGGATCATTTGAAACCTTTGTATCCAACAGATTTCCTGCTGCTTCCAGGACAAGTGGAAGAGGATGTGAGCACCAGTGTTTGTTCTTTCATTCCTTCTGTGGACAAGCCTCTCGCTGCTGAGGGGAAGCCAAAGCCCACTGTTAAGAGAACAGAGAAGCAAGCAGAGGAGGTACTGCACAGGGAATTCATTTCAACACAGCCTGGATTTTGTAATTTGTCCTTTTTATACCCATGTGCTTTTGTATTTTTCTCAGGTTTGGGAAAATTTAGAATTGAAGTAGTTTAATTGATCCCTCTCACTTTCATGTATCTCTAATGTGTATATTTCTTTTTAAACCCATAGAACACTTGTTTTTTTATGTGGAAACTATTTTTGTTTAATGCTGAATGCAAGGCTATAGAACAGTACCACCTAGGGACCACAAATTAGAAGGAACAGACAATTTCTTATCTCTGTTAGTCTGAACTGGCCATGTTTCTTATTATCATTATTTCTAAGGTACTGTGAACCTTTTTTGTATTAGTTAAGGTCAGTCAGGCTGTTATCACAGAGAATCCCAATAATAATTTAATGGGAAGTAGAAGTTTATTTCTCTCATTTGACAGTCTGTAGAGGCTCTGTCTGTAGAGGCTCTTAAAGTAACCAGGTGGCATCATCAAGGACCCAGTTTCTTTCTCTCTGGATGTCCACTACCCCTTGGGAAAATGTCCTCTTCTGCATGTCCTCCTCTGAATCAGGTCACCTTTATAAATGCAGGGGTAGGAGATGGGAGCTTGGGAGCAGTATTCCACTGCAAGGCTGAGGACCCAGGGCCCTTCGTTGCTGCTCACATTCCTTTGTCAAACACTTAGTTGCATCTTCATGTTTAGCCACCGAGGAGCCTGGGAAATGTCATCTAAACATATGCATCAAACACAGGGAAGAATGGAATCTCTGCTCTACATTTACTTTCCCAGATGTAAAACTTGGAGGTCATCTTTTGCTATTATTTTGCGACTCTTCTATGCACTTAGCAAATGTGCAGCAGTAGAAGTTGACGGTGGTGCAGGGAAGTTACCTTTCTCACCCTTCTTGCTCTAAGGTAAAGGGAATCAGGCACAAGACCTTGCTAAGGGCTCTTCATTGTTACTTTCTAATAAAACCCCTAGGACCACTCTTGATTATTTTAATTGATCAGGTACTTGTCACTAGAAGACATTCTGTTATTGAATTACTCATTCCATCAGAAATAATCCACACATTTCAGTTTTAGATTGCTCTTTTTCTCATAGTATTTTTGTTCACTGACATCACAAAAGTATACCCCAGGATGCTTGAAGGCTTATATTAAACTCCCAAATTGGTTACCAGAGAAATCGATTGGGACAGCCACTTTTCAATATGCTTTTTGAATTATAGATTGCTTTCTCTGAGTTGTAAGGAGCTAAAATTGCAAGGTTATTTCTAGCAGAAACCTGTTTCTTTTGAAGACCCATTTATGTTCTTGACTTCAGTTGTGACTATACAAGTTATTGGACTGGCTAGTGGACATGGAACCTGATACTTTATAAGAATTTGATTGTACCTAGGTGCAATTATAGAATATACATATTGTAGGACAATTATAAAAATTGTCATAAAGTGTTTTCAGTTAATGGGTTAAAAAAAGCTTAATGTTCGCTGAGATCTATCCAATAGCCAGTGAAATACAAATTAAAACTGTCTAAATGTATTTTAAATCTGAATATAAATTTCTTACTTTTACAGAAAATATAAACATTTTTTAACATTGGAATTAAAATGATATGAAAAGTTTTTGTGTTGGCAAACTTCTCAGCCATCAATGAATGACTTTTGGTGTCTTTGGAATATCCAGACTAATATTTTGGTTGGAATTTTTATTTCTAATCATTACTTTTTTGAGAGGCTTTCCACTCTAGATTCACAATATTACACCATCTGTTTCTTGGTTTAATAGCATTAATCTTATTTTAAAGCATCTAATGTCAGTAAAAGAACATAATCATTAGTTTCCAGAAATATGTTTTGTAAGGGCCTACCAGAAGGCCATTTGGGGGCTGGAAATGGTACTTGCTTTCTGTGACTTCAGTCTGGAAAGATGAACATTTGTCCTGAATGTCCTGCCTTCCTCTTACTTGCCTATTAAGAGCCCATCAACTTTCTGATATGGATTGGGTCATTTTAAAATGTTCCCCTTTTTAATTATGGTTTTATAGGCATGTATTTTCCTCTTAGAGTCCAACATTTTCCAAGAACTTTCCTCTTCTTATTTGTAAATAACTTCTTGCCGTGGTTGCTCTATTTTGAGGAATCTTGGAAGTTTTGAACACCTTTATAGAGCAAAATGAATTCACATTGGAAAGAGGAAAAACTGTAGAAGCCATAGAAGAAGTCACAGAAGAAACTTGAGTTGTGTTTTAATAGGAGATCTCCTATTTTGCCAACTGTGAAGAGAGTTTATTTACCATATTATTTTGTACACTTGCCTACAGCTAAATGCTGCCATTATTGACTTGAGCATGAGTTCTGTTTTCTTTAATTTGCCTATGTGGTACTATGAATGAAAATGTGTCTAACAGTGTCTCTGTTAGAATAAGTCACACGAGTAATTTAAAGGAAACTTGGGGTTTTCTAATAGTGCACAGATTCGATTCTCTGAGAGGCTACAAAAAGATTTCAATTAGATTTGAAATTAGACACCTGAAATCCACACATTCCTCTCAGCTCCTTGGGCAAAAATAACAAGTTAATAACTTAATTCACAAGGTTTTTTGTTTGTTTGTTTGTTTGTTTAGCAGCAGGGGAGTTAGTGTTCTACTGAACAAATTCTTCTTTGAAATAAATCAGAATTTCTGTTTGGAATTGAAGACCTTGGAGTCTTAATAGCTTAGAACCCTAAAATGAACCCAGCTTAGAAGAAGAGAATTCTTGGAGTGCACTTCAGCACCCACAAGTTGAAACACAGAAATAGAAATCCAACCTTGGTGTATTTTAAAAGCTATCACTTGGGAGGTCACAGTGATGTTTTCTGAACTGCAGTCCTCCTTTGAATCACATATGTGTCCCTTGTCTTGGAGGAGTGTAAATTCACTCAAGCATGTCTTCATAAGCTTATTAAGTTCAAATGCAAAAGGTCAGAATGAGTGTTGATCTTGGTACCATACAAGACAGGCAATAAATATTTATGGAGTGAACAAATAACATGGTTGGGGTCATTTTCTCCTTTCTTCTCTCTCGATTCATCCCCTTCAACTTGCAAACGTGTTCAAATCTCTCTCAACCTCAACAAACCGGAACAGAACAAGGAAAAGCAACCTTCCCTTCCCCTTGGACCTCTCTTTGGTTACTGTGTATTTATATTTATTTTCTCTCTTCCTCTCTCTCTTCTTCTGTCCCTCCTCCCCCCAATTTCAGAAGCATTAGGTTCTACTAGTTGATCTTCCTTCCTTTCCACTCATTCAGTGTGGTGCACAATGTGCTTGATCTCCATCAGCTCCCTGGATGTTATCAGAATGGAGAAACCAATTACTTCACAAAGATCCCATCGAGTAGACACTTGCAATCTTTATTTTAATGGATCCCTGTACTGTGACACCACTGATCTTCCCCTGATGCTCTTTTTTCACTTGTTCTTACTTCCCTGTTCTCTGACTGTGTACTTCTCTGATTGTTCTTCTCTGCCACCTTTGGGTTTTTTTCCCCATCCATCCTTAATGAATTGGTGTTCCCCTGGGTTCCTGCTTAGTGTGGTTTTTCCTATGCTACATACTTGGGTGCATTTTGATATTAAATCACTACCTGTTATGTTTCCAAATCAGTATCTCTAGCTTTAGGCCTTTTTTTCCTGAGCCTTAGGTTTGTATATTTAAGTGATCTCTATCTGGCTTCTTTCAGGTACCTTGAGTTCCAACATGTTAACCACTGAACTCATCTTTACCTGCTTCCCTTCCTATACTCTTCTCCCTTCAGCCATTTCCATATCTAGTCAGTCATCAAGCACTGCTAATTTTACTTTCTAAATATTTTTTTCAATCTTTGCTACCCTTGCCCTGTTCTCATTATTTCTTGCCTAGACTGCTTCAGCAGGATCTCAGTAGCCTTCCATCTCATGCCCCTCAGATCTACCCTCTGTTTAACCTTCACAGTGAGCTGTGTTGATACAATCTCCAAGAAGGCAGGGCATCTTTCTTTTTTGTACTCCAGCTCCTATTTTATTGTGGGCACTCAGTAGACAGTTGAATAAATGAAGGAGTTTAGCTGAAATGCATAGAGGACCAAGTGTCCGCCCTGTTTAAAAAGAAAATCCTTCGGGGACTTTCCATCTTCTCTATGATGACTTGGCATTATTGCCATCTCTTGCCACTTTTTTTTTACAGCTTATAGTGTGAAAATGCTGAACTCCTTTCAGATGCAGGAATGTGCAGTTCTGCATCTTATTTTTAATCCTGCATTTCCCCTGCAAAGCTGTTTCCTCTCTGCCTTGTTACCTTGTACACCCTTTCTAGCAGTCTCGGCTTTCTTTCCAACCCCCTCCAACCTGGTCTGGGGAAGTGGCCCTTCTCTGTCTCCATCACCTCTTATCTATACCATTTGTGCTTACCACATTTTATTATAGTGATTGTTTATGTATTTACCTCATTTGTCTGTGATTTCATACAAGTCTTTATATTTGTATTCCCAGCACCTTACACAATGCCTAGAATTTAAAGGAACAGAGTTTGTGGAAAGAATGGAAAATAGCTGAATGATTCCTCTAATATTTTGACTCAGGGATAAACTGGCCATGTGGAATTATATCCCCTAAATGGTGTAAAATATCCGGAGTATCATATTTGGCCATTGCAAATGTGAAATTATTGTATCTTTGGTTTCTTGCCTTTCTATTTCAGCATTTAACAGACTACCCAGGAAAATAATTTAACAATATCAGTTGTTAATAATTCTTAGTTTCTAAGTGAAGAAATTATATATTTAAGTATCTTTTTATACCCAAAAGTTTATTATAAATGAATAAAAATCTTCACACTGGCATTTTAAGAATGAGTTTATAGCCTGGCACAATGGTGCATGCCTGTAATCTCAGTGGTTTGGGAGGCTAAGCTAAGGCAGGAGTATCACAAGTTCAAGTTAGTCAATGGCAGCTCTTGCCATTACTTTTGTCAAGAAAGCATGTGGGTACTTTCTAATAAAAAGGGAATGACTCAGCCAATGGAATTTGTTCTCTTGTTGCTTTACTAAGAAAGGATGGTAAATGGCTGGTTGTTTGCTCTTAGCACTGCACACCTAACTACAAAACATGCCAAACAGATAGCAGAAATCTACTTTTCATGATTTCTTTTTCACCTGGGGCAGCAGTGTATAGTTTCTGAGCAGTATGCTCCATTTTTACAGACATTGCAAAAGCTACTCAATGAGATCATCTTCCATGCAAGAATATTTAAAGCAGACTATAGTTTCAGGATATGTATTTTTTTCATTCTTTCATGAACCATAGTGTTCAGTAGCACTGTACATATAGAGTTAGATAGAGGTGCAGGTTGATTTATTGTATCACACACACCATTTGGAGGTTTTTTTTAGCGCATGATATAATGAGATGTAGGCATTCTTTTTCTGTTTATTAGAAAATATGCTTTGTATTTATTTTCCTTTAGAAAATCTTAAAGACTCACAAGTTTTGAATAAATAGATAAAATTTATTTTATCTCTTTGCAGCTACTCTAACTTTATGTAAGCTGTTATATTTTTTTAAATTATTGGTAGAAAAAAATGGGATTCTGAGCTTTTCAATTTAAGATAATGCTGTGTGTTTTCATAGCTATTGTTATTAGCTAGGTATTATGGGTATTATCTGAAGAATGATAATAAGGGTAGTCTGTTTTTATCTTTGAAAATTGTGTCTTATTAATATGGGTCTTTTTAGTAAACGGTGAAAATGTACTTAAGGTTGGTCCAATCTTAAGGCATATTTTCTCGCATTTTAATGTGACTCCTGTTTTCCCACGTGTGTCTCTATCCCTGTCACTACAAGTGGTAAAAAATGTAATGGTAATGAATGTGTGCTGGGGAGACTTTCTGATTCTTGCCTTGGGCAGAATTAGTTAATGATATTCATTCAGATACAGCATGGTACAAATGGGGCATATTAAGAGTCCTAAATTAAGTCCTGAATAATTACATTTATTTCTTTACTTAAAAACAGCTTAATTAGATGAGAATGTTGATGTCTAAAAAAAAATTTAATTAATTATTAGTAGGGAGTTTGTGTTTTCAACTTTATCTTCATTTACAATAATTATTAATGTTTTTCTTCCTTTGTTACCTTTATAGATATTTGGTGATGAAGTCCAGCCCTTCTCACTTGATGAAGAATTTGATTATGACAATGTGGCTCTAACCCCCAAGTTCACTGCTGCAGAGATGGAGACCATCAGAGAGCTGTTGAAGCAAGAGAGAAAGAACACCAACACAGACCTATGACTGATTTACCAAAGCATCTCTGTTTATTTTGTTTTGTTTTTAGTTCTTCAAGCAGTATCAGAGTAAATGATAAGCTAGCCATAATTCCCTTTGTGGAAATCTATACGTGTGCCTTCATTTTTCAGAGTTATTTCTCAGTTAGGAGAGAGGGCAACTGACCAGAGAGCTGAGGAGGTGGCCTTATCCTGACATATTGTTGCACCCTGTGACTCCTGGGGATGGAGAAGGAAATGGGGACAGGAAGTAAGAATTACCTAAGGGATTATTGATGAGAGCACAGCACAGGGTGATGCACAAGGGTTAAAGTGAAAAGTGCAGACAGGAGCACTCCTTTCTGGGTGAAGGACAGTCACACCTGGGAAACATGTTGTAATACATAGAGGAAAAGTGCTCACAGAGGTCAGAGATGGTGGCATCAATGTGTGCGTTGAGAGAGCTAACTTCTGGAATTGATTGGGCTTCGCAGAAAAAGAAGGCTTCTGAGAATTGATTATATGTCATATATAGAATTCTCCAATTTGTTATTAGTGTTAAACCATGTGTGATAGTTACAAAGTACAAAGAATGATTTCTGTATCCAGAATCTTTTAAATTTGAAAAGGCAAGACAACTAGAGAATATTGGAACATTGGAATGCAAATAACGCAGACCACCCACAAATGCATCAAGGAAAAGAGGGGTGAAGACCCAGAACAAGGGGGAATAATATGCATGAAGTAATTTTTAATGTTGAAGGAATCGGTAACAAATCAAATGTAATTAGTCTTTATTGGTTTTCTTGCCTCTTTTAAATAGATTTTGTTTTTTAAAGTAGTTTTAGGTTTACAGCAAAATTGAGGAAGAAATTAAGAGCGTTCCCATATTATTCCCTGCCTGCTCCCTCCCTGACTATCAGCACCCCACCCCACTGAGTACATGAGTACATTTGTTTTGTTTTGATCTGATTTTTTTTCTATTGCTTTTCTTCTCTTTTTTCCTTTGTGATAAGAACACTTAACATGAGATCTACTCTCTTAAAATTTTAGGTACATGATATTGTGAAAGCCAATCCTATACAGTGGGTCTCTAGAATTTACTTATTCATGTGTAACTAGAGGTTTATATGATGGAATAGCATCTCCCTGTTTTCCCTCCCTGAGTCCCTGATGGCCTCCACACCACCCTCTGCTCCTGTGGTTGATATCAGAGGGTGTGTCATATTTGTCCTTTGGTCACTGGCTTATTTCACTCTGCACAAAGTCCTTCAGGTTCTTCCGTGTGGCCACGCCTGGCAGGGTTTCCTTCTTTTTCTAAGGCTGGAGGTTTAGTTTAGTTTCCCAAGGTGAGTGTGCATCACATCTTCTTTAATCATCAGACAGTGGTCATGTAAGTTGTTCCCATGTCTTGGTTGTCATGACGAAAGCTGCAGGCGTGTGTCTATATGAAGAATTGTATGTGAGTGTGCAGAGATACTCATAAAAACGTCATTTATATTCTTGCTTGAAAGAAGTGTTGTGTTGTGGTAGAGTCAAGTGATTTACACCTTTGTTTATTGAACAAACTTTCATAAAACACCATTATGTCTCAAATCTCATTCACACTAGAATGGGAAGATACGAGTAAATTAGACATGGTCTAATGTCATGGGGAAGGGAGATGAAGACACAGGTAATTACAGGAGAGCAGAATTATCCCACAGAATAATTACTGGCTGCATTCTAGAGCACTTGATATGTAGCCACTGTGACTGAGGACCTGGTTTTTAAATGCTGCTTGATTTTTATTTCAACTGAAAATTTAAAAAAACCCCTGATATTTGGTATAGATATCAGAAAACTTTCAAGTATATTTAGAACAACTTGGCTACATGAATATGAATTTTTCAACAGTAAATTTTGTCAAATCTAAATATAGATCAGTTAGTTTTGATGACAGGTCAGTGTCTGGATTTAAAATATGCTCTAAGTGTATAACACATTGGATTTCAAAGATTTGACATGAAAAATTGTTATTTTTTGGTATTGATTATATGTTGAAAAGGTATTCTTTTTGTACTCAAATTCACCTAGTTAAATGAAATACATTATTAGAATTCATCGTTTCTTTTGACCTTTTTAGCGAGGCTACCTGGAAGTTTTAAACTGCACATGTTGCATGTGAATTTTTAAGTGTCAGTGTTGCAGCAGAGGATAAGAATGTTGTGTAGCAAGAGCTACAGTGGCAAAACACGTGGGAATTTTTGAATTATGCCACGGGGAGCCAGGAATCTTTACAGTGAAGGTGATGCTATGGTGCCAGGAAGAATCAGTAGGGGTTTTTGAGGCAGTGGAGGGTGGAGAACATTACAGTCAGGGAATAGAGCCCAGAAAGCAAAATGATGTATGACCATGGCTGTTTAAAGGAAAGCCATAGCCTTCTGTAGGTCGTGTCAGGATAACTGGGAAAACTGCAGGGGAGGAAGTCGGGAATGTAGGCTGAATGCTGAAGGCCATGTGTGCCGTAGAGTCTTCTGTAGTTGATGGGGAGCTGTTTAAGGAATAGAGGAATCATAAGATCCAAAATGTATTTCAGGCAGGGGACTTGGTGTGAGTGTGAGGGGTAGAATGAGCAGAGGTGACACTAAATCAGGGAGACAAGTTTGGAGGCTGTTAGAAGTTTGCGTGGGAGAGGATAAGAAATGAGTCCAGGCAGCGTGGGTGGAAATGGAGGGCCTGGATTTGATTAGAGATGCAGGAGCAGAGCTAGCAAGGACTGTGGGCTGATGCAGTGTGGGATGGAGAGAAGGACTGTGAGGTTAAGACAAAATATTAGTGTGTCATCTATGCCTGTGCTGAGTTGGGACAATCTTGGGATGTGTCTGTTCACCGAGTCAGAGACTCTCATTGGACTCTAGGTGGTATTTTGCTATTCTAAGTAAAGAAGACCACTGTAAAAGACATCCCAAATTTATGGACTTAGTTTTATAATAGTAACAAGAAATCCATCTTTTGTAATGTTTAAGAAGTCTGCCCTTCAGTGGAGTATTTCCTTATTTATGAATGCCTCTGTATTCATCTGTAGGGTTGGTGTATTATGTTTTGAATTCATTCCTCCTGGCATTTTTGATCCCTGAATTATTTGAGGCAATTGTACATTATAGCAAAAATGACACAGGAAAATGAGTCCCTTAAAGCCTTTGACTTAAATTGTTTTATCTCCATTGTACCTTACTGTTACCTTAATGAACAAAGACTTTCCATGGTTGCCTTTCAGTTTCAGTGACCCCCTGAATGGGGGAAATGGTTTGTTTTAATTGGCTGGCAAGTCCTAACCAGATAAGCTTGTGCTTATCCAGATGGATAACTCTTGCCTGCAACAGAAAAGAAATGCAGTATATAGGGTAAGGAGAACCAGCCCAGTGAGCATACCAAAATGGGAAGGAAGAACATGAAAATATAAGAAGTACCTTGAAATAACGTGACAGAAGCAACACAGACTAGCCTGCAATGGAGAAAATGTCGCTTTAAGCCAGCAACACAGTCCCAGCTTGCTGGGTGTGGTGGCACAATGAGCTACCTTATGACTTTCAGGATTCTTCTTGGGTGGCATAGCACAGAAGGAGGGAAAATTATTTATGCCTAATTTTGAACTTTGATTTCTTTACCAGGAATTCTCTTTCCTTTTCCTGCAAGTGCGATAAAGTCTGGCTCCTATTACTTCTCCCACCTCATCTTGTGCCCTCTCCCTCATGGTCCTGGCTTGTTGGTGCTCTTTTTTTTTGTTTTTTAAACAGTCCCCCTTGTGTCCACCTTTGGATCTTAACTCTAGTTCTTCCTTCTGCTGGTCTTCCCTGTTCATCATGTGGCTGGATTCTTCTCAGTACTCAGACCCCACATGAAATGCATCTTTCCAGAGTCTGACAAGCATTCTTTCCTCACAAACCTGCCGCCCTGACACAGAGCATTCCGTCATCCCATCCCGTCTCCTGTGTTATCTGACTCCCGACTCCCGTTAGAGCATAGTCTGTTAGAGGGCATGGACGTAGATCATATTTTCATTGCTGTGTCCCTAATGCCTGAAAAAGACCCAGCATAAAGTAGATGTTCAATAAATATCTACTGACTTAATCAAAACTGAAAGGATAATTTTATTACCTCACAGAACTTGGAATTCCATTTCATTGATTCTCTTTGGGTAGGCATATGTTGAGCATGTCAAGACGGTCAGTGCAAATTTGAGAAACCTCACCTGGTGGGCTGGATCTGCCCCTTGTTCAACATATTATTTCTTTTCCTCACTATGACCCCAGAGAGAATCGAGAGAATGTTGGTTATCATGGGAACATTGCCTGCTTCTCAATTTCTCTCTTGAAGTCTTTATTATGACTTCTTACATTAAAAATCCTATTCAGGAACAATTCATGCGGTGTGATACTGCTATTGCCAGCAGTCTACATCAAGAAAGTATGAATTGACGCCTAAAAGAAAATTTAGAGGGAAAAGGAAAGAAGAAAAGAAAGGTAAGATAAGTGGGGAGAAGAAAATTCCATTTGGGGAGCTGTCTGTAAAGCACAATCCTTTTCTGCTCATTCATTCAAACTGTTCATGCTCTTAAGAGTCATCAAGCTTGAGAGGTAGACTTAAAACCTCCTCACTTTATTTTCTTTATTCTCAGTGCAGTAAAAGCTACGAGAGGCTTTTATAAAGAAAGAGACAGGATCTGATGGCTCAGGGGAGATGATGGGAAGGGAGCTGGGGGGCTGTGCTGGGAAGAGATGAGAGCCAGCAATGGGCCTCCTTGGGTTGCAAAGAGCCTTCTCACTATTTCTGAAAATTTATGCTGATATGTGTGAGCAAAGCTCCATTTTCGTCCTTCACTCTGGGTACGAGTAGGATATTAACCTAGAAACTTATGTCTTTCAGTTTGGGAAACTTTTCTGGAGTTATTATTATTTTTTTTTTGATGATTTTATTTCTTTACTTTTTCTCTTTATTTTCTTTTCACCATGGCCTCTTTGTGGATGTTGAACTTTTCAGATTGTTTCTCTAATGTTTTCTTATTGTCTTCTCTCCCATTTCTGTTTATTCTGATTTCTGAGATATTTTCTCAACTTCATCTCCCATATTTCTTTTTGCAATGTTTTGTTTTTGCTTTCTTGCTGCTGGAATCAAATCCAGGGCCTGTGTGTGTTAGGCAAGCACTGACCACTGAGTTTCATCCCCAGCCCTACAATGTGCGTATTTTAGTTTTTTGCCTTTTATATATTTTTAAATTCCAAAATTTTTAGAAAAAGTCAAATATCAAGAAAAACATCCTTCTTTGTCAGACTTGCTTCAGGACCAAGTCTTATTCCTTATACTGTTGAGCACCACGCCCCTTGATGGTAAACTCTTGTGTTTACGCTGCTAACAAATGGGGTGGGATGCAAAGAGGGCCTTGGATGTTCTTGTCATATTGGAGAAAGCCTCAGGTGCACCCCGCGGTAGCTGAGTAAGTTCTGGGATGGCTGATACCAAGAGGGGAGAAGGGGCATCGATTGGGTGGCCGACCCAGGACAAGGCTGCCTTTGGTTGTGCTAGGCATGTGGGTATTAGGAATGCCATCCTCTTAAGCAACTTCTCTTCCTGAAGTTCTTTCCTTCTGTTCATATACAAGTTAGTTGCCAGGGTCTGTTGGTTTTGCTTCTGCATTTCCTTTTGGTTCCAATCTCTCATCTGTATCACCCCTGCTGCTATTCAGGCCTTCATCTTTACTTGTCTCCTTCTGGGGTCTTCTTACGTTCCAATGAGTTTATAAATGTCTCTGTTCTCTTAATTCTCATCTGTTCTGTGCATTGCTTTAGTATTAAATTTTATGTAACATTTCAAAACTTAGAGCTGCCCATTGACTACTGGATTACTAAAAATGTCTGTATGTGACACTCAAGGACTTCTCATGTACTCCATGAATCACACCAACTGACTGCATGTGGCTCCCGAGTGTTCTCTTTCTCCTGCAGCTCCTGCTCTGTTTATCTGGAGGGCCAACCCTCATTTCTACCCACTGAATTCCTGCTCAGCCTTTAATGATGTGGCCTAGGGGTCACCTCCTTCATGAACATGAAGTCTGTCTTTTTCTTCTTTTCTTAAAAAAATTAATACCAGGGATTGAACCCAGAGTTGCTTAATCACTAAACCACATCCCCAGCCCTTTTTATATTTTATTTTGAGACAAGGTCTTGCTGAGTTGCTTAGTGCTCTGCTAAGTTGCTGAGGTTGGCTTTGAACTCAAGATCCTCCAGCCTCAGCCTCCTGAGCTGCTGATGAAGTCTTTCTGATTCTGTCCACCAGGTGTAATCTCATCTTGCCTTGAATCTTGATAGGATTTTGTGATACTTGGCATTTGTCTCTTTCTGCCTTGTAGGATAATTATTTGTGGACACATTTTTTCTCAACCTCCAGAGGTTGAGAAAAGCACATTCATTCTTACATTTTTAGTGAGTTTTGCCTCTTGCACATTATGATTTTCATAGTTGATTTTATTAACTTATGAAAGCCACATGGGATACTCCCAAAATGAATCATATGAAGATTTATTAGTTCAACTAATATTTATCCAGTGTCTTTTTGTTACATTTTGTTATAGAAAAAAATCATGATTTATTAATCCCTGGAATTTACGACAAAGAAACTAATGAAAAAATGTGTTCATGAGCTTCACCAGTATGCTGGTTTATTGAGATAGCAATCAGAAAAAGTTATTTTTTTCTAGTACAAAAGTGAGTGGATAAAAAAACCCCAATGTTATAATTCTAGATAAACCTTGTAAGAAGGAATATAAGAAGACATTTTAGTGCCAAAATAATAGTAAATCAGGAATAAAAGTTATAGCATATGATAAATAATTATAAAAATATACAGTATTTTTATGTCTATAAAAATGTACAGTTTTTTGGTTGGTTCCACTTCAGTTGGGAGCAGATTGTTATCTCTATAGTTTGCACTTAGAATATTGACGTCCCTATTAAGATTTAAAAAGTAAATCCAATAACTCTCTAGATTGTGTTAATATTGGCTATTTTCTTGGAAAGAAATTAGCATCAATTTTCATTTAGATTGAAAAGTATTTTCAAAGGACGACTTATGTGCAAGTGGTGGTAATGGCGCTTGAAGTAATTAGGGTGTTTAACAACCAGTTAGAAAAAAGCCCACTAATTATTCCGTCTTCTTTCTTTTCCTCCCACAAGGATGGGAAACACTGGAAAGAACTTGGATCATATACAGATTTGGTTTCTCCCCTCCTTTTTAACTTACAGTATCAAAGGTCTTTACAAAAATAATTTCCCAAGTCCTTTGAGTTTAAGAGTACTCATAGTTTGGACCTGTAGAGGTCATAGATTTGGAGAATGAAGGTCATCTGGCTCCTGAAGAGGTCTTGCTTCATGAAGAATATTTTATGCCTTTCTTTAAATGATTTGTTTATACAATCATCTGTTGCTGATTCATGGACTGATGATTTTTGTATGTACGTATAAATATTTTATATATACTTATACTGTGTGTATGTTGATGTTTTTGCAGCAAATCCAACTTATTTTCAAATGTCAGTAAGTCATACAGATTAGTCTGTATTGCCTTTTTGTTTTTCTGAAATTGGATTTGCTGACCTTTCTCTGGGAAAAGGACAGCATTTGTCTGGACTAAACTCTGTATTCCTTTCTATTGTTCTGGCTTGTGGGCTTTGCCTGGGGCATCTGTTTCTGCTCCTCCCATCCCTCAGAATGTAAGTATAACTTCCAGATGGGTGTTGGGTGTTGTTTTGTGTTGAAACAGATGAACACCTGGTTGTTCATGTGCAGGTGCACAGGACTCTGGAGAAGGGGTTTAATTTTAAGACAAACAAAAGTAAGAATACCTGCATGTTGCAGAGGGGACTTGAGTGTTGAATTTAAGATGCCTCTGTGTTCAAAACCGAATAAGGACATGTGAGTCTCTTCATATGCCAGGGATGGTATAAAATACTGTTCATAGTATTTGTTTTCCAAAAGAAATGTCTTCATTGACACAGAGACTTCTGCATTTGTCAGCCAAAATGATTCTATTGTATCTTATTTAGTTAGTTATTTTATTTAAGTTACTTATTTAGTAACTTATTTTGCAGGAATCACAAAGAATTTACACAGATGACACCAAAGTGGTCACTTTACATAGCTCTGTGATTAGGCTTTAATATCCTACCTATCAAATAAATAACCTGTTCAATGCCATCATACAAATTAGAAGGAGAAATGAAATTAAATTTTGTGAAAAAATTGTGCCCACATGTTCATTTTCTCCAAATGGATAGGACAGTCATTCATTACATTTTAAAACAAAAATTGATCAAAAGAGAAAAAAAATGAAGAAAATAGTACCAGTAGAGTCTACAACATATGTTCATGATCATCTTAGGTCAGATGGATAAGAAGGAAATAAATGAGTATTTTTTTTTTTACATCACAGGCAATTTTGGCACAAAGAGGTTATGGAAATATCTAGAAATGTATTAACTCGATCAATTGTCTCAAAGTATTTACTTTTATTGCTAAAAAGAAAGATAAATAGGCTTTCTTTATGCTTGCTGAGAGTGGAGCTCAGTATTCTCCTGGGAGAGGTGGCTTGTTTCTGTTTTCTTGCCTCAGTGGTAAATACCTATGTACACGTGTGTTTTCCTTGACTTGCCCCACTCCTCTGTCCCACAGATGGCTCACGTGTGTCTTGTGGTGAAGTTCTGACCTCAAAGGCAAAGAAACCCTTGAAATCCCTCTCTGCCAGCCCACAAGAGCAGCTTCTATCTACCGCAGCGATGAGAGCTGGAGATAACCGGGGCATTCCCACCGCTGCACTCTCTTGTGGGCAGCTGACAGTTAACACAGGTGGGCGTAAGGTGCCAGCCACCTTTTGAACTTGTCTGTTGAAGGGGAATGCCACCTCCCTGGGATTAGTCCCCCATGCTGGGCCGAGGAGTTGCTTCTGAGAAGTAACCAGGTGGAGAATACCTGCCCAACTTTTCAGAAAATCACAAGTGGCTGTAAAAGTCCCACTGTGGTTCAAAGGCTGCCAGAAGAGGTGGCCGTTGAGGGGCCACCTTGATTCTCAATGTCTTCAGAGGCGAAATTCAATTGTTGGCAAACAGCCCTTCTACCTCCTCTCACTAACGAGATGGGAGGGAGGCCTGGTCCATCCGGCTGAGGGAGAGTACACAGAAGGAGCACAAGAAGGGAGGCAAGTGTTAAATGAGTCTGCCATTCACCAGGCAAACATCATTTTGTTTAAATTACACTGTGCTGTTTTATCTTGACCTGCAACCAAATGGAACTCATTGTAATACATTATCACATACAAGATAGTTGGCTCATTAATAAAACCGCAGGAAGGAGACAGGGGTAAACAATGAAAACTCCCACACATTAGCACTATAATGCACTACAATATTTTTCCTTCTTTTCATCAAAATTCTCCATGTAATTAAATCCCAAGTAAGTCAGCAAACAAATCCTCAGGATCATTTATTGTACTCTTTTTTTTTTTGAAGTGAATTAGTTATTTTTCATACTGCGAAGCAGTAACTAAGCACAAACTCCTGAACTCAAAGTTTTCCTTACAGATAGTAAATTTTCATTGAATGCTGAGGATGTGCTGGGTACTGGCATTCGGAGTTATAGCAGTGAATGAGACAGAACACTGTATTAGTGACGGATGCTACGAAGCAGAATAATGTGAGTGAAGGGAAAGAAAGCATTTGGATGGTAAGGGAGAGCCTCATTATGGAAGTTCAAGCAAATCAGGATGGGAATGTCAGGTTGGAGCCAGCTTATGATGTCCTGGGGAAAGAGTGTTCCTGGTCCAGCCAATATAGCTGAAGACCCTAAAGTGGGAATAAGCTTGATGGATAGAGGAACATGAGGAGGAATTGGTGGCTGGAGTGGGAATGGGAGAAGGCTAGGTTGGTGGGAACAAGGGGACACGGGGAGGGGGAGGGACCAGAGACTGACATCGTAGGCCACACTGAGGGGTTGAGGAGTTGTCTTCTAATCCCAGTGCTATACTTGGGTTGTTAAATGTGATGTTACACACAGACATAGACACAGACACACACACAGACACACACACACACACACACACACACACACACACACACACACACAGAGGGCTAGCTCATTAATAAAACCCTAGGAAGAACAGAGATAACCAGTGAAAACTCCTACCCATTATCACCATAATACACTAAGTACACATAGTAGGTATTTATCTATACACTACATATAGTACATAAGTACATATAGTATACATATCTTTATATACATTTGTATATATATCTATAGCTAGATCTATATATCTATATGTTTCTGGTACTAGGGATGAAATCCATCACCTTGTGCATGCCAGGCAAGTGCTCTATCACAGAGCTACGTCCTCAGCTCTTTACATTTTCTTCTTTGGGGTGGTAGGGGTACTGGGGATTGACTTTAGGGATACACAACCACTGAGCCACATGCCCAGCCCTTTCTTTGTATTTTATTTAGAGACAGGGTCTCACTGAGTTGCTTAGTGCCTTGCCTTTGCTGAGGCTGGCTATGAACTTGCGATCCTCCTGCCTCAGCCTCCCTAGTCTCTCGGATTACAGGCATACACTACCGTGCCTGGCTTTTTTAATTTTGTAAATTTCCCAGGTTGGCCTTGAATTTACGGTCTTTCTGCCTCATTCTCCCAAGTAGAGTAACTGGGACTATACCATGTGTTATTTGTTTTAAGAGATCAACTCTGCTTGCTGGAGTTGGCATGGTCTGGAGAAGCAGTAGGCGGGGGGAGGGGGGGCGGAGCAGTGAGAGGCTGGCATTGCAGCCATCTAGGTGTGTAGCCATGGTGGCCAGGGTGCCAGGCTGGAGGTGGAGCTAAGGAGCAAAGCAGATGGATTCAGGACTTGACCTGGAGAAGGAACTGATGAAAATGTGGTGATGGATGAGGGGAGCTGAGACTGAAGCTGCGGGTTTTGCTTTACAGGTGTCTCTCCCAACCTCCAAGGGCTAAATCCTGCTGCTGGGAGTTTCCTGGAATTTCCAAAAGCAATACTGTGTGATATCATGAGGCTTCATTGTCTTTTAAACATTATGCTCTCTGACTTGGATGTGATTCTCTCAAGCCAGTGCTCCGTTCCTTCTTTTCACGTTAAAATCTATGAATCGCTTAATACTTTGCGGTTGCCTAGCCTCCTCCTGACTCCTTTCATCATCTGAGAAAGGTTTTAAGTCAGTCATTAACCATCATTGGTGCCTAAGCATCTAGCATAAGCATGGTCTAACAAATTGTCTAATAAATGTCCGGAATGGAATTGAATAAGGACTTAGGGAAATAGTAATAAGTGGGTCCAGGGTCCTGGGCTGTTCTGTGAACTGTCATAAAGAGGTCACAGAACTGGCTTTCTACCTGAGAAAATCATGTGTGGCGACATCTAGGGTAGCAGAGCTGGTTCCTGCTCTTTCCTTTCTTGGCTTGTCCCTAACAAGAAGGTCTCAGCAGGCTAAGACGTTCCTGATGTGGGCAGCCTCTGTAGGTAGCTGGAAAATGGGGACAAGATGTGAGTGGAGAAATTCCAGAAGTCCACTTTCTGGGAGAAAATGGTAGTTGAGTTTGAACAGGCAATAGAACACTTACGTGGAGCACAGAGGAAGAATGTTATCTATGTCTCCTTCCAAGGAAGTCTGCATGTGGCTCCCAATGGGCAATTTGAGATTGTCTTGCTCTGTCAGAAAGCCATTAACTTTGGAGTTGGTAGATGCTCACAAGACTATTTAGTGCCTTTCCCTCATTTTACAGATGAAATAACTGATATCCTAAGGAAGTATTTTGAGACAAAAAGCCCCCTGTAGGATCCAGAAGCCCAGGATAAAGGGAACTTGCTGGTCTTTTCCAAGACTCCCTAGCAAGGTGGTGGGTGGCTGCTTTTCACGATGCTCATTCTCCACCCTTCTGATTTTGGTCTACTTTTTCACAACTCCACATCTCTGGGAAATTGGAGCTTGTGAACCCATTTTTAGCATCTTGTTTTGACATTAATCGAAGTCTTGCTTAGTTGTAAATTTGGGCTGGAAAAATACAGTCACATACTGTAGCAGCTTCCCTGTTCAGAACACCTGCCATTGGAAATATTTGCCAAGAAAGCTTCACGTGGTGCCTTTCATGAGGAAACCATGCAACAGGTGGGATTGATCTGCATCTCCCTCTTTATCCACTCTCAAGAGGACTTTTCGAGAAATTGTTGTTTGAGGGTTTTCGAGGCTTAGTGAGTAGCAGAATGAATTTTGAGGTCAAGGTAACAAATGCAGATGATCAAATGACCAGGGCATCTGCTGGGTCTAGTGGGAGCATCACCTGTCACTCCACAACAGAGGCATCAGAGTTTACTAGCTACTGAATGGGGAAAAGGGACTCTGGCTGGTAGCTGCTTGTTTGCTCATGTCACGCCCTCTCCAGGGGATGGGCTCCCATCCCCTTGGGAATTAGAAGTGGTGAT